TAATCGTAGGACACACCCAAATTATCAAGAGTCCTCCACGAATATTTGTCAAACTGGTCTTTATACTCTAAAATAAAACAAAATTAGGTAGGTGAGGTAGGTAGAGTGGGTAGGTAGGTAACACACTTGGCTTAACGTATTTCTTGTAAAGACGTATTTGCGCACATTTAACTATGAAGGAGCAATTCATGATATTACTCCATCATGCTCAAATTCAAAAGCGCTTTTTTGATGCATTTGATAACAATTGGAAAGTAACTGCGACCCCAGGAATGGTGAACGATGCCAAAAAAAATGTAATTTCTGACGTTTGAGAAACATGGGAACGAACACGGTTAAGGGGCGCGCGGGATTCGAGGGATAGTTTCGGATTATTTACGGTTTTGGCGCGAGAATTGTTCCTTTTCTCGTGTTAGTGAAGTCAGAATAGATATCTGAACACTTCTAAAGATATCACGTAGATTTCAAAGTACTAGTTTAACAAACCAATATTTTCAATTGACAATTAAGTAAAAAGTAGTGTCGCCGAAAATAAATAGACCTTTTTAGCTTTCAGTTTGCAACAATAGTTTGCCGTCTGTCGCTGATGGCCGGTTAACAAAACGTACTACTGTATGCAATATCTTACTAGGTAGAATGTTCTCCCAATAGATCTTGACATATTTATCTCGGTCGCTTCTTGATTGTTCGTGGAAGAAACCTCGGGAAGCAGATGTGAAAGATGCTATATACAACTGGATCTAAATTACTACCTGTATTTACTGGCATGGCTACTGAAAGGACTAAAACGAGGAACGAAGAACGGAAACGAACCCAGTGAATGGGAATCTAAAAAAAAAATGGAAACAAAAGGTAATTTAAACCGTACCCCTGTCAATAACTTCAGCGCCTATTCTCCCTTTTTTTTCATTTTGCAGTTCCCCGTGCGCGCTACCCATTCCCTCTTTATAGTAATACCTTCGTAGATGGCCACAACTAGTTCACATATTGTACAATTTGGTTCACTAGCGTTTAAAATAAAGTTTTTTTAACGGAGTGCAATAAAGCAAAGTTAAAAACTGTTGAAAAGAAACGTCATTCATACTTCAAAAGTATTACGACCCCAACCATGTAATATAGATCACACTGTAGTCCTGCATGCAAACCTCGAACGCCTAACTAGAACATGCGATAAGGGCACCCGATGATCGTTTGATCTTTTTGTCTATCGCATAAAAACGCGAGAGAAAAAGTTACCTGTTGCATGCATCATTTCATACACGATCGCTGGGACGTCATAAAGCCATCAGCAATGGAGATTTCTTGATAGCCGCTTTCAGCATATCGCTTTCCCACCTTTGATGAACACCTAAAACGACTGAACGTTGAGATGAAGAAAAGAAAAACTTCTGAAGTTTCTCAAATGGTTTTCTCTTAATGCTTTAGAAGCCGGAGTGGTTAATTTTGAGCTGCCCTAGAAACTATTTTATCCAATGGGTTGTCTTAGGAGAATTTTGCTCGTCTGGACAATTTTTAAGGTTATTGGATTTTTTTTTCAATCCTGATTGGTCCGATCAAAAGTTCTAGGACAGGAGTAGCCGTAGTTGTTATTTTCTGTATAAAGGTAAAAAACAGTGAATATCTTAGACGAATGAAACGGTTATCCAGAAAGGTTTAGCCTTTCTCGGGCTTTAGAAAATTCTAGGAAATATTTATATTTGCTCATTAGAACAGTGATTCACTTCAAACAACAAAGTAGTTGGGCACTCCTATTCACGTGCGCATTTAACCAGGAGGAGAAAGAAAGTTTCGGGGGGGGGGGAGGGGGGGGAAAGGGTCTCATAGGAACAGCTCATAGGTAGCCTACGTGGCAGGCGCAAAAAGGAGAGGGGAGGGGGAGGGAGAAAAGCGCGAAAGAGGGGAAAAGGGAAGTGAGCCATTACCCTCTCTCCCCAACCCCCTCCATTTTCCCCTTCTTCCGTATCCCGTACCCCTTTCAACGCCTGCTACGCAGGCTACTCATAGGTGAATAACTTACCTCCACCCTCCATGCTCCTCTCAGGTAAATTAAGTTGTTTGCATCTTTTTTGTATAATTATTTAAAGTATTTTTTGAAAAAGAAAGAAAAATATCTAGATAATGCCTTTTTGATATTTTGATACCTTACCCATCGCTTTTTCCAAATCGAATGTAGTTACTCCCATGGACTACCCTGTCGTAGTATTGAAATCGGATGCATGTTTTCCTGTGGAATTCCTGAATGGCTTTGTACACATCACACGCGATATGGCCTGTGTGTCAAGAAATTAAATAAATAAAGTCTTAGTAACTAGGCCCTGAGAAGGTTTGCATAAGGAAGCTACGATCTTGTGGAACGACAATTATAACACAGCTTGCGGAGTTTATTAGGGTACAAGGTCAAGCTAGACGCATTTTGGGGAATTACCAGGTAAGCAAAGGGATTTTCATGACTGTTTGTGGCCTAGTTCCCGAGGGCCGTGAGAAAACAATAAAATTTCAA